TTTGGAAATGTATAGACTTTGCTTAAAAACCGCTTTGTGCCAATGTAAATAAGGTCTGCCAGTTCTGACCGGAACAGTAGTTAAATATTCAGTTAGAATTATGCTCATGGACACAAAAAGTCAAGTGGTTCCTCTTGAACTGCTACTTGCTCAAGGACATGTATCCAAATTTTAGTGGTTTATAAATGTATATATATTTTAACTTGTGTGGATTTCCATAAAGTTCTAAGTTGTGCTTCATTTTTTTTTTTTTTAAACTTAAAAGTTGTACGATCATTTCACCTCGACAAAATAACAGCTCGAATGCGCAAAATCTTGTTGATTCCGTGTAAAAGTAAACACCAGAATAATCATCAAGTAAGAAGTCTTTATTTCACTGATCACAGTTGAAAACATTACATTTAGATTCATTTAAAATCAACCAGCATTACAGATTTCAGCAAAGCAAAATACTCTTTTCTGAATTTCCCTATTTTAGGGCAAGATTCTTTCATCCAACAAGCAAAAACAATGAAGTGAAGGATGAGGAACCTTTAACCAATTACCTCTTAACTGGTTTTATTCTGCATTTAGTTTTATTGTGTTTGGATGACCTAAAGCTGCAGTACTTTAAGATGAGGCAGAGTGTTGTAACAGTGTTGTGTTGGCGAAGAAAACTGGTGATATCATGCTCTCTCTCTCGAGGTAATAATGAGTTACTTTATTTATACAAAAGCTAACTGGCAATCTGCAGCATTCAAGACAAAAATAACCAATTCAAAGCATCATTTATCTAAATTTCATCTAAATCCATCAGAAGTTCCCACCTGCTCCAAGTTTTAATACAGTAAATAAGACAATGTTGCAATTCAAAGAGATCCTGCAGAGGGATTAAGATGAAAAAGCTGCAGAGCTTGAAATTTTTAAACTTTTGCATAAATTGATCATTGCGAGTTAATTTAGTATACTTCATCCAGTACTTACTGATCTCACAATTAAATGCAAGGACCTGACCTCTTCAAATTATGCACTTTTTGCATAAACTATGAATCTGCAATATCTAGCAGTTAGAATAAACTAAATGTCTCAATTCCTACTTTATTTCAAAATTAAATATCTAAAAAGCAAACATTTGTTTCAGGGCCATCAAACATTACATTTAAAAACAAAACCGCCCTGTCGTATCAAGGGAAAGCCAAGGTACCCTGCACAGAAAAATAAAATTATATAAAATCTAATTTAAAGCTAAAGTCATAGGCTATCTTACAATAAACTTGATCAGAATGAAAGTTGTTTTTCTCAAACAAGGTTTTTGCTGAGGAGTCTAAAGCAAGGCCACTGCTACCAGAGTTGTGTGTCTTTACTGACCATAAAAATTCACGGTTCAGCGTTTCAACTGTATCCTTGAAGCAGCATGATCTGAATAGGCGCGGCCCTATTAACGCGTGTTTGACCTCTCTAGCTTCCTGAGGCGCGTCCAGCTCCACGAGGACTACTGATTGGCTACTTCGCAGGCATCTATCCAGTCACTGTACACATCTACAGGCTCCGACAGATCTGAGAAGAACCTGATTAAGGAAAAGATAATTCTACAAAGTGCTAAACGTATGACAAGAAGTGTTGCAATTAAAATATTTTAAAGTCCTTCTGCTTCCAAGCCATTTCTTAGGCTTTAAAAGTAGAACATGTTTAATTATCGATAGAATCCTAATTATTCTGAATCTGTGAACAGATGTCAGAGAGTACCATCTAACTACAGATTTACTCTATTTATTTCAGCATGGAAAAAAAAAAAAAACACACACAGGTTTACACCTTTTTACACTTATTGATAGTGGACAGAGAAATTTCATAGCAGCTTTAATAGCCTAAGAACACCCCTTTTATAAGTGGCCTCTGCTGCAGAGAAATGCACTTAAATCATACAAAAAAGAAAAAGCAGGAGGCGTTGGGGTTGTTTTGATGTGATCAGGGTCATAATTCAGAGATAGTCAACAACTCTAAATCAGAATCAAAATGGAGTGTGCGTGTTAGAAAGCAACTGGAAAATAATATGGAAAGACATTAGCAGAAATTATGCAGGAAGTGTACAAATATTTAATTACTTATCTTTATAAAATAGATTAAAACACACATTATTTTAATTGAGGCTGGAAAAATATCAGCAGGAATAATTCCCTCACCTGAAGTAGATGAACGTTAAATTACAGAATAAGTGGAGAACTCACAGTGTTATTGTGGGTTAGATGTTGTTACGATCACTTTGTCGGAGGCTGCCGGCTGTTATGAGGCGATCGCGATTCAGCCAAAAATAATTTCCCCAACTACAAGATCAGAGGCCTAATCTACGAAGCAGGGAAACTGGTTTATCAAGGTAAAATCATGTTCTGCTTGAATTGGTCAACAACTTATCTAGATCTGTTACCATGGTAACTTACTCCTCAATAGCTACTATCCTGAAACTTTTAGAGGCATTCCTTCTCTACACGTGAATCAAATGAATGCCTCATTACTGGGCCTCTGCAGAGCTGAATGGTATTCTGATGAGACAATTCAGCCATTTGTATCTAAAAGTTGCAGGATAGTAGCTATTGAGGGCTGGACTTGGGCTCCTCTAAATTAAACAATAGAGCAAGTTAGCTTTCCAAATTAGAAACAAAAGGACCGGCTCTCCCACCAACGAGTCTCCGCAGTATGTAAATTTAAAAAGACAACAAGGATAGGTACGCATGTACACAAACTGCTTGCGCTCCTTTATTCTTCTCCTCAACGAGTGATGCCGTTTTGAAATAGAATTAGAAGAATTGATACTTATGTACCAAAAACTGAGGCCGATTATTTGAAAGTTTACGCTGGAAGCTGAAGATTAAAAACCAGCAATCAATTAAAATGCCTCCGTCTTTAAAGATCTCATTCGTCATGAGCTGGAGTTTATCATTTTGCATGTGTTGCTACACTCGTGTTTGTACTTATAACAACTGTTTAACATCACAAAACAACCACAGCATGTTTTAGTCTTGGACATTTATAGCATCTCCACCTGCTCGATGTAAACATTTCCACCTTGATAGATCATTTAGTGCACAGGGAGGTTTAAAGCAGTTGGGATTGCAGCAATGATAAAATTCCTGACAAAATGGTATATGGTTTTACGCTTTAATGATACGGCGGCGACATTGGTTAAGTTCTTTTACTGCAGCTCCACCTGTTTTATATGGCGAACAGATATCCACCGTCAGTAACCCCGGGTTGATTTACTGATTTGATTAGCTGGCTTCATTGAACCGTTTAAGCACAATCTTCAGCAAGATCTCCAAGAAAACCAAAAAAGGATAAACCTGCTTCATAAAACCAAGGCACCAGAAAAGCAATCCACCATCTTTGATGGAGGTGGACAACTGACAACCTGTCGCAAAATCCAAAGGTTTACTCGACTCTTGGTGAGTTTAGAGCAGATTGACGGGTTCCAGCCACGAGGTGGATAGATGGAGGCAATAACCGGTGAAGGGCTGAACCAACTGAATTTTTCAACAACAACAACAAAAAAACCCTTTTTAAGACCTCTTCCCGCATTAAAACAAACCAATCTTCAAACAGATCATAAACAAACCAACTCAAAGAACCAGTTCTGCATATGTAGAACTGCTGCTGTGATCAGAGCTGCTGTTTTTCTTCCCCCCCCCCCCTTTCCTTGTAATATTTATCACAAACAGCAGCTATGTGGCCTCTCTGAGCAGGAATGGGAGAGGCAGCGGCTACAGACACAGCACACACACAAAGAGAGAAGGAAACAGGCGGGAGGGAGATGCTACAGAGTGAGACAGAACAATGAATAAAAAACAAGCTGGAAAAGTGAGAAAATTAGAAATATGAGGAAGATGTTACATTTAGATGCCATTTAAATTGCATCATTAGCAAACGCAGACTGTACAGTACACAAGGTTAAAATCTCAAGCTGCCTCTTCTAGAATGTACTTTTTGCAGCACTGTGTTCCATGGAGTATAATAATCAATTTAAATAATAAACACTGAATACAATGAATGTTTTGTAAATGAGTAATTCATTTTAATGTTTTTTCTAAATAAGATGTTAATTTAAGAAAAAAAACAAAAATAAATAAATATCTGAGGATCCATATGGGAATAGAAAACGATGGCTTTTTTAAAGAGCCAAACCACAAGAACAAGGTCTCTTAAACGAGTCAAATTTCCCATCACTATAAAATAAAAACACATTAAAGTCAGCAGTGGTTCTTCATATCACTACTGTTTTGTTTCTTTTTAAGAAGAGGACCATAACAACCAAGCTATAATCCACTTGGTGAAAAGGATACAGGTAATGGGAGTCTGGAACTCCTCCAAACAGACAGAGCATGATATTACTCCAGTGTTCCTGCTTCTCTCCCTGTAACAAAAAGACAAGTTAGAACCCAGCCGAAACAAGTCAAAAGAACTTCAGATCAGATGAACGTATAGCGTTTTACATTTTGACATCACATGACTTCTCGTGGTTGCAGAAGGGGCAGGTGAACTGAGTTTCCAGATCTCCTGTCATCTTCTTCTTTGGAGGAGGCTTTCTTTTAGACTTGCGTCGACCCATTTTACACAAGCCTTATAAAGTCTGGGTGAGCAACACAAAACAAAAACGGTTCAAAGAAGATATCACCAAATATGAGAGAATATACAACCTTATTAATGTCTGCAACGGGCCCTAAATAATTTCAATACTCCATGCTGTTAACTTAGCAGGCTAGCGTTAGCATGTTTGTTGACTTGTTTGGCAACTTTATTCACCTCAGGATAAAAGACACGTCGACTATGTTTTTCAAAGAAAATTACTTTTCCAGTGCTTTCATTTACTAACAACAACGGAACACTGCGTGACTGTTACAATTTAACTAGAGTAAGTTTAATCGTATTTACCTGAGTTCAGGCTGAACATACACGTTGGAAAGCTCAGCAAAACAATTCCTTAAGCCACGGTACCAACAACGGTTCGATTGAAGTTATTGGAGGATAGCGTTTACGTCACGATCTCCCATTGGCTGTCTGAGACGACAGTTACATCGATTGGCAGCACCTGACAAGTCTTTCTCCCGCATGGTGGCGACAGAAACTCTAGCAGGTTTGGGTTAAAACCAGTTCATGTTTCTTGTTTTGACTTGAAACTGTTGCTAAACCCTTACTTGTTCCACAAGGTCTCCGTTTTTGTAACTTTTCCGTCACACTGACCTTGCCATATTGCGCTGTTTGGAAACTTCCTGCTTTACCGTAATCAGTTTATCATTTAGCTTTTGTCAGCTAGCTTAGCTAACTGACAAATCAGTAGATGTGTTGTAAATACATTTAGCGTTTATCAAGGTGTTCTATATCAGATGTGTTTCAATTATGCTGTTATAATAAGAACTTTTATTACTTATTTATTTAAATTATTAATATTTAAATATGTATTTAAACTACATAATAGTAGAGAAAAAATATTAGAAAACCTTTATGAGAAGATTCAAAGTCTTACAAAATGCTTACACCCTTAAACCTTCATAGTTCATATTACAGCCACAAATTTCAATGTTTTGTTAATGGGATTTTATGTGATTAAAATGGACAATGCAGGGCATGTTTATGAATTATAAGGAAAAAATACAAATATTTAAATTGACAAGTCCCCTCAAGTCAGCCATTGAGATGACAACTTGTTGCAATTACAGCTGCAATTACTATAGAGTACATCTCTATGAGCTTTCCACATCTAGAGACTGACATTTTTCTCTTCCAAATATAGCTCAAGCCAGTTAGATTTAATGGAAATTGTGTCTTTTGACATGTTCCCCACTTTGATTTATGTGTCTGGACTTTGATGTTGCCATTCTGATTCATGTGCTTTGTTCTAGACCATTTTACTGCCGCTCTGGTTGTTTGTTTTGGATCATTTTCCTGCTGAAAATTGAACCTCTGCCCAGTCTCAAGTCTTTTGCAGCCATGTTTTCAGCATCCGCACAGCATGATAATGCCACCACTATTTTTCATCATTAGCATATTCAGGGTAATGTGCAGTGTCAGTTTTTCGCCACACACAGCAATTTTCTTGTTGACAAAAAAAGAAAAATCTGTTTCCTTATAACACACCATTATGCACTACTTTGTGTTGATTTGCCACATAAAATCCCAATAAAATACACTCAATTTTTGGTTGTAACATGACAAAATGTGGAAAAAAAAGGTTTCCAGCCACTGTGCTGTTAACTGAGAATCTTACTAAAAGGGCTCTTAATTCTTCTACGCAAGTACATTTGCAATTTCTACAGTTTATTCAACTATATTTGAAAATACTATTTGTAATGCATAGCAAAAAAAAAAAAACAAAAAACTGTTATATTCTTATACCAGATGTTTGTTATCCTGATGTAAGAGGATCAATGGAAGATGACTGGACTTAACTGAATTTTTTTTATGTGAGTTAGATGTCATTGATGTGGAGTGTGAAGGTTGTTGGCCTGGGAGTGATGGCCCTCTCTCTCAGCCTGGAACTGCTTGGCTGGGTCTTTGGTCGCTGCAGGCGCAGAAGAACCCTCAACAAGGTCCTCTTCTTCCCCTCAAAGGTGTCTTGTGTGGAGCACCTGTTTAGCCAAAATTCAGCTTGGTAAGACCAACGTGACGAAATTAGTGTTATCTCACAAACTGAACATATGAAGAATACATCAGATTCTCATAATTTACTCTCAACATTTGACTTTTTGAAGCCATTTTGGTGAATTTTAACCACTAAGTTTTGAGAGTTTCATATAGTTCTGAAAACCTACGTTGTCATGTCAGTGCATAATGTAGCAGTACAGTAGCATGAGATGTATGGATTAGCACAGGCCTCTGACTTGCTTCTTTGTTTCTGCTTCAGCTCATGTTTCTGTCCACTGCCACACGGTGTAGAGACGTCTTTCTCTTGTCTCCTCCGCCACATCCTCTCTGCCTCCTCCTCACTGGACCTGTGTGTTTTTTCTTTTTCCAACATGGATCTGAGTAGAGCTGTGCTCCTGTTACACAGCAAGGGCGTAACTATCCGAGTCCTTAGTGACAAGGACTATTCTGCCATCACAGGCTCACAAATAGGAGTTCTTCGCAAGGCTGGTAAGAGAAACTCTGTTTTTACACTCTTTTTTTTTTTTTTGTACAATGATCAAATTTATTTTCCATGTAATAACTTATCCTTTAGAATTATTTGGTCAATTTATTTTGGTTTCCATTTCGGAATAATAGCTAAAAATAAGTTGTATTTGTATTAAACTTTTCCATCCGTCTGCCGGTCCCGTAGTTTTGCAAGTATGTTGTTGGAAGTGTGAACTCGATAGCAAAAATCTTCTGGGAATTCACGTTTAACTTTTGTACTTGGAACAGGAAACTCGGCTGATAAGAATCTGGAAAGTTTGGAATTTTAACAAGAGATTTCTCTCGTAACCCCGATCAATAAAATATTAATGTACTTTACTTGATTAATATAAACTTAAGTGTATACAAATAGAATTGTCTTTTCTGCGCTTCAGTTTATTGTAAACTGTTGCTATAAAAATCGAAATGAATTGTGGCCAAGGGTCCTTCCACCACAAAATGTTAGAAATGTCGTGGATATAGAGTCATGACTCCCTTGTAGAAACATTTTAGACATATAATAAAAGGTTGCTCTGAACCTATTTAACACCATTATAGTCACATTTAGTTGAAGATACAGGGAGCATGACGCTAGTCTTACTCAATAACAGGAGCTCGCTCCAGGCTTTCAGACCTGAAGTATCATTGTCAGTAAGTCCCACATGATCTATAATGGCGAGCAGTGAGATAATGGGGGTGTTGGGGTTAGTTGAGGTTGCCTCTACAAGCCCTTCAATGACTCAGAGTAATAGTGCCTTGAAAGATTTGTATCACATGTGTGACTCATGCTGTCTCACTCTGTCTCTCAGCCCCTTCTGCATTTAATAAATCACTGTCACTGCATATGGTCGGGTTAGAATTAAGTAAGTACAAAGCTGGCAACCAGACAGCAAATGTTATTAGGCAAAGTGTTTCTGAGTGTGTGTTTGTGCGTGCCTAAGTGAATGTTGAATGCAAACGTCAGGAAAATTAAGTTGGCTCGAGGAAAATTAAGCTCCTGTTCCATATTTTGTTTCGCAAAGGCTGTTTATTCTCGCTGAATGCCACTGGGTCCACCACAAGGTCATTCAGTTTGCAGTCGCGGTTTGATTGAAGTAGTCTGGTGTTTGTCAAAATACAGTCATGACAAATAGAAAGTACAAACTCTTTACTGTCTGAGGTTTTGGTATGAAATCTGCTCTTTGTTTGTGACTAAAATGATTTAAATCAACACACAGCTGATTCCACACTGCTACTATTGATGGCACACAGAGGCCTTTTCAATGAAACTCAAACAGCAGAGCCTCATACAGCTGTTAAGTTTGGTGGTAGAAGGGTAATGACTTGGGTTACTGTTGCAGCCAGAGAGCCATAAACTTCTCAGCTCACAAATATTCAAAAGCAGGGAAGCAGCAAGTGCAATTTATCTTTAAAAAGCTTTATCTACCAATTACGATTTTTGAACAATACCGATTTCTTTTTAATCATCGTGCAGTCCTAAGAGAAAGGGTCCATTGGACTTGCTAATTTTCAGACCTTCGCGAAGGTACATAAGAGTAGTGGACGAATTTGATTTTAAATGGAAGTGTCGGCCAATCAGAGATCTTCCAAATTTAAGAAAATTTAGTCCAATCGAGCTGAATTTGATTTGAATTCAACCCATTCAGATTTTAATTGTGTTTTTGCGTTTGGTCTTTTCTAACGGCTTGCAGATATAAACATATATGCTACGTGTGCTACTATTAACTACGTGGTTAACATAAAAGTATAGGTTTATGTGGAATAATTGATACAATAATTGAGTAATCAAAAAAACTGCACGACCAATCTCAATGACTGAAAACACAAATCCAAACTCAACATCACAACAGGCAGTATGTGTGATGAATGCAAATATGAAAGGTTTCCCTCATGTTCCGTGGCTTTCTCCCTTGTCCAACATTCTCGCCATAGGCGTCTGCGTGCGATGTGACGCTGGCTCTGTGCACATGCACCACAAGTTTGCAGTGGTGGACGGCCGCCTGCTCATCACCGGCTCCCTCAACTGGACGTTGACAGCAGTGCAGAGCAACATGGAAAACATCATCATCACGGAGGAGGCAGAGTTGGTTCAACCCTTCATTAAGGAGTTCAACCAGATATGGGCGCTTAATGATCCAGCCCTATTCTATAAGCGCTAATAAGTGATTAGCCGTGATGGTCACTGACAGATGGAGATGTGTGAGCAAAATTTGTTTATTCAGCTTACCCTGTAGATCTTTTCTTGGTGTGTTTACTTTAAGTTCACTGAGTCAAGTTCATTTTAACTCAGTCAAGTTAAAATGATTCTGAGATACTCTGAAGGGAATTAGACTTGTTTAATCATTCAGTCGGCATTTACTTTACAGTTTGTTGTGGACTGTTTTAGTATTTCTTTATTTTTTTTATTTTTTTGTTGCTGAAAAACAATTCAGTTTAGGTATTAACCAATGGACTAGTTTACAGATGGTGTCCCAGTATTCTAAAACAATGTTTTCACCAACAAACAGAATCCCTATTGTTTCAATATAGATAAATATATGCTGTTGATTTAACTACAATTTTTTTTATACTTTTATACCATGTCACACGTTTAATTCTTTCTTAGCCCTTACATCTGACAATCTAAGAGCTGAGGTTTTTTATGTGATAGCATTCTGCTGTATATTTAATACAACTGTGGATACAAGTTGGTTTATTGTTTTTATGGAAATCTTCATATTTGTTCAACACTAAGTTGCACTGGCTGTAAAAATGTAAGTTTATTGTGTTTTGACTGGAGGCTCGGTGCAGCAGTCTTGCATCATTTTTCTACCAGGTGCAGTTGATTTTTTTTTTTTTTGCTGTCGCTGTAACGTGTTTTATGTTGTTCCGAATTGCTTGTGTGCACCATTGCTTGTGGATTTTCAATGTGTAGAGGGGACCTTGTTTAAACATGAGACATTTGACTTTTCCTGACTCTGCTTCTCCTCACTCAGCCAACACTTTAAAGAAAGAATCTGCTTGTCCTACTTTTTGTATTTTAAAGATCATGTCTTAAATATTGACATCCTTGCAGCGGTAATTTTCTAAAACCACCGCTCTGTCAGGCTCCGTCGACTTAACAGAAAGGTCATGGGTGTGGGTAAAGGTTGTTGCTCAACAATGTTGAAGTTTACTAAATGTCATGTACCAAGAGAGCACCTTCAAAACAAATGTTGACCACATATGTCAATGACTGAAAATGTGGATTTTTCTTCCATTCAAGAGTGTGGCTTGATTTTATCTTGGATTTTGGATTACAATTAACAAGACATGTTATAATAGTGGACTCACCCAAAAATATTTGACTCAGACCATAAATGGTATGCTGTAGTGAAAATAAAGAACTGCCCATTTGCTGTTGTTAAAACAGAAAAAAAAAGAAAAAGAAAGTGCCACTTATTTACAATAAGAAGTAGTTCTCAGAGCTTGACATATCCACTTGAATATTTATTTAATAAGCTACTGATATATTTGTTTAAAATTGCTGTTGATCAATAAGAAAAAAAAGTTGTATTTGATTTTCTGTTTTATGAACTGCAGCACCTTTGGACTTCCATAGAGAGGAGGCCAGTTTAACTGGACATGTGCTGATTCAGCAACTTTGGACACTCCATATGGTTGCTGACTAAAAATAGTCTCCTAACCCTTTACCTGCTTTCTTTCAAGCAGTAGGCAGAGGACAAACAACAGTTGACCTATACAGTGATGGGTATAGTTATATTTACTTGAGCAACCTTTTATTAAAAAAAAAAAAAAAACTTTTAGAAAGAGTTTTACTACACTGTGCTTTCTTTTACTTGAGTGATATTAGTGTCTCTTCTTACCTGAGTATAATTTTGGGGTGGTCTACCCAGGTCTGAAGCTGTCTGGTATCCTTTTGTTCTCTTCTCTCCAGGCGTGGCCCACCTACCTTTTAGACATAATTTGAATCTCAATTTATAGCAAGACATTTTTCTCTGAAGAACAGAGAGAAATTTGGGGGAAAAAAAAGGTGTGTGATGTTTAGATATGTGCAGTTTTTGTTATCCTTTTTGACCAAGCCTTTTATTTTTGTGAGCTCCAACCGGAAGTGTTTCTGTTGTTTTTTTTCTTTGTCTAACTTGACACGTTACACAGTGGATGCCCCAGTGTCAGGCACATGCACCGGGGTGGCGATCCGGGAGGCGAGCACCTGAGCTGGAGCGGCCGATAGCAGCACGCAACTTTCGGCTCTCGGGTGGCGGTTTGTGGATAAGGACGGAGGAGTGCAGATCATAAACGACATCCAAGGTAAAGTTGCGTTCACGTGTGTTTCAGCGAGTCGGGGATGCAGTGGAGGTGTTTTTGTTGTTGTTTGTTTTTGTAGAGCTACCATACCATATGGTGCTTTGTTGCAGCCAGACTAGATAAAGCATAGCCACGAGACGTGTTTCGACTTAATGATAACTTTTTTTACGGATTTAACTTGTAGAAAACCGGGGAAATTTGTAGTCGTTTAAAAGTTAGAAAGTGGGATAAGTTGCTCTCGTTAGAGCAGTTTCTTTAGATTTACCATTTAAAGCGGCTGCGGTGCGGCATGTTTGTTTTCATGCGGAAAGACTTGCCTTCTTTGTACTAAACTAACTGCAAACTAACTGCAAAAACCTTCCAACAGTTTGCTGCTCGTTGATGTGTAGGCGCATGCGTGGGCACGGGGTGTTTTGCTGAGTGTGTGTGCGCAGCAGCACGCTGCCCATCCGCCTCCTCCAGGATCTTGGAAGTGGTAATGCTGAGCTGGTCTCCAGAGATCCCATCAGCAGCCAGCCAGGGAGGAGCACTAGCATCCTGTTCCTCTGGGACGAAAGAGGGGGTGGGCTTCTGATGAATGGATGGTTCAGCCTCATTATGATGCAGAGGGATGAGGGGAGGAGAGAGTGGGTGAGATATGGATGGCTTATGACAAGGAGGGGATGCATAGATGGATGAATATGGCCGAGTTAAGGGAGATGGATGACAGTGGGTGTGTGTTTGTGTATACGTTTGAGTGGGAATGTCAGTGGGTGATGGATGAAATGCACACAGAGGTTAAGAGGATGTTTTGCCCTCAGCACACCACTCAGTGCCTACAGATGCTATAAGTTTATGTGGTGACTTCATGTGACAAATGGGACGGAGGGAGCGGCGGGTGACTGATAATGAGGGATACTGTGGAGGGAGCACGCCCTGGATGTGATTTACAGCCCAGTGATGATCTCTCAGAAAGGAAAGGCAGGAAGACAGATAGACATTTATTCCACCAGTCATTAACTTTGCCCGTCTCGAGATGGTCCAAAGTCGCAAAGTGGGCACTGCCAAACAAGACTTGTTACTCGCATCCAAAAAATGAAAAATAAGAAATACTTCTCAGAGAGCTCATGCTCTTCCTCAATGCACAGACTTTCAGATGTCCAGTGTTTCTTGGCAAATCTCTGTTTTTTGGTAATGGTCTGGAACTGCAGATATAAAAGTTTGCAATTCCAGTCATTTTTAGAGAAAATCAGCTTGTGACCGGGACAAGACAGTTTTCTTCTTTATAGGCTTTAACCGGTGAACTATTTGTTGGAAACTGAATACTCTGATGCCATTCTGATCAATAAGCACATTTTACGAAAGTTACTTCCAGGTGGCGCTGACCACAACTGACTTTATCTCTCCTCGTAAAGGGAGGGTATTATGTAAGATTGACTTTTTTGAGCTTTATATCATGTTATTGTTCAAGATTGCCTAAATGGAGCTGCAGTACCCAGCTGAGCTGAGCTGAGCTGAGCAGAGCACTTCCCTGCTCAGCTCCATCAGACTAGCAGCAGCAGCACTAGCAAACACCTGGTGGAACTGTGAGTCTGCTGAGCTCAGCGTACAAACTGCTTCTCGGTCTAAATCTAAGAGCAGCTGTTAACGTTAGAATGAGTTGTGGAGATGTGCTAAAGCGGAGTGTCGGTAAGAGTAGGAGCTTCTTAAAGAGACAGAGGCCAATTTCAAGGCATCAAATTGTAAAGTCAATTTTCTTTAAGTTTGATTTATGCAGCATTTTTTATATTAACTGAAAGTAGCATTGTTACTTGGTCATTCTATGAAATGGCACTATGTGCCTGGAAAATACATACTACCCCTTTAACTTACTAATGAGGTCTCAAAGAAGGTTGGCTTTAAATTTTTCTAAATATTGTTACTATTTTGTCATTGTGTTTTTAAAAATAAACTTTTTGGGCGTGTCACAAATTGAAATCAGTGTGTCTTTGACAGATAATATTTAAAATATATTTTGGACTGTGTGGTTCTTTCTCACTCATAGAAACAAGCTGTTACTAATGGATAAACCTAAATGGATAACCTCAAAAACTCTTCAGCTTTTGATCTGCTGACATGTGGCTCAGTGGAAAATGGTTTCTTTTTCAGTACTCCCATAGTCTTTGGGCTTCCTCTGACTTACTTTTCTCTCATTGACAATGGAAATGTGAGACTTTTAGCTTTTCTCCTAAATGTTATGTCATGTTTAGTATTTCTATATAGCAAAATAACTAGGCTATAATAGATAGGCTATCTTAAAAGGATCTTTTTCACTAACAGCCTGTCTCAGTTTGCTTCATTTGCTTTAGCTAAACCTGGAAAAATACCAAAGAACAGTTGGGTAGATATGAAACACCTTCTTACCACCAGCAAGGTGATTCTCAAATAGGAGATTGTCGAAACCTCAGCGCACAACATAATTCTTTCAAGACTTTTAAGGACATTTTTACAATTCTTGTCTTTTCTTTATGGAGCAAATCTGGATCTACATCCAGTTGTTGTTATTAATAAATATTATAAATGTTCATTTTGTAGATCTGTTCAGCTGTGTCTCACTCGAAAATTTTGCTCCAGCCATTTTGTCATCAACTCTGACTAGTTTCCTGAAGAAAAGCATCCTCACAGCATGATGCTGCCACCCCCAGGTTTTAATTTGGAGATGGTGTGAACATGCTGTTTTTCATATAGAAGAAAATGTTTCATTTTAGTTTCATTTGGCCAGAGCACATGTTTGCTGTGACAAACTGCAAATGAGATTTCTTGCAGCTTTAAAAAAAAAAAAAAAAAAAAAAGCTTTCTTCCTGGCACTGTTTAATAAAGGCCAAATTTGTGGAGCGTACGTCTCCTTTTGCCAGCAATCCTCAATCCACTTGAGTTGTTGATTGCTGGAGACCCTTTAGAGTGAGCATGGGTCTCTTTGTCCTTACACTTATTAATTCTCCTTTTATCTGACCGGTGAGTTCAGGTTCACAGCAACATCTTGGTAGATGTGGGGTTGAGCAGTGTCATTTTTTTTTGATTAAACAGAGCTCTGTGAAATGTTAGATGTTTTTTTTTTTGTTCATGATCTCAGAAGGGTAAGGAAATGTATATAATATAGATAATATCTTTAAATATCTGTTATTGGCTCTAAAGGTAATAGTAATTTTTAGTATCGATATTGGCTCAAATGTCTACATTGGTGCATTCCTAATACAAATGCCCTCTTCTCTTTTCAGATTTTTATTTTATATAAAAGCAAAAAACAACAACAACAAAAAAAAACTGTATTTTACTCTTACTTAACAAGTGCAATTTGTGTCGCTCTATTACATTCAATTCTGCCAAAACATGCCGAAATTTGTCTTTTATGTGACAAAAATTTCTAAAAAGGTAAAAAATGGGAACAAAGCTTTGCCACTTTCAGAGGAATTAATAAGGCGAGTAGCTGCCAGGTGCTGCCAATTAAAACCACTTGATTACCTGATCATCAGCAGGTTTGAGCCCCGCTAGGTAAGACATTTTGACAGCTTGTGGTGCAAAAACAAACGGTGTAGCAGCTGAAAATTTTTTCTCATTTCAGCCGTCTTGCAGAGAGTTGTGTAAGTGTTGATTAGGGCTTGTTTTGCAGCTGACGAGCCATGGAAACTTTACCAAGGTGACCATGAACATATCTGTACTCTGCTGCCAAATGTGGGATTGTCCTCATTTTGCTGTCGTTCAGCAGATGGCGCTAGACCGGGACCCCGGGGTCGGCCAAGAGCAGAGGGACGCGGCCGACCAGAACTTTGACTACATGTTCAAGATGCTGATCATCGGCAACAGCAGCGTGGGAAAGACCTCCTTCCTGTTTCGCTATGCAGACGACTCCTTCACCTCGGCGTTTGTGAGCACAGTGGGCATCGACTTTAAAGTCAAGACAATTTACAGGAACGACAAGAGGGTCAAGCTCCAGATCTGGGTGAGATGATGAAGTAAAGGCTCACCCTCTAAAAACTGCCATCGGTTATCAGCTGTCTGTGGTGTGTTAGAAGGAATAGTAGGACGACTCATTTTAACGTGCAAAAAAAAAAACAACTTCACATCCATTTTCCTACATTTTTAATTTCTTTCTCCTTTTCAATCCTTCATCTCCTTGTCGATCCCTTTATGCTATTTACAAAAGCAGGTGCAGAAGCTCTTGAGTAACTACAAAAAGAAACGACAAATAAATATTTCATTTATTCCTCTTCAGGTTTGAAGAGGATTTGATTCAAACTATTACAAATTAACTAAATGTTGAACACCAAAACCCGTTGTTTTATTTCAAGGGAAAGTGTGTTTTTTTTTTTTTTCTTCCCTGCAGAAATTAAAAAAACAAAAATTCAAATAGAGACTGAACACTGCTTTTTATTAGATGTTTTGTGAAAACATTTATTCAGCAGTGTTTCTAAAATGTCTCACCCAAGCAAAAACGCAGAATGCAACCCTAAAGTACATCAACTAAAACGCGTAGAAAGCTGATGCACTGACATTAGAGGTAAGAGTCAAAACTCAACAAAACAAGAATGCTGTTTCAAGATTTTGACATGCTAGAAACGGAAAACCAAACCAAAACCAACCAAAAAAAATTTTTTTTGGTTTTCCTGGGGAATGTTTCTCTTTTTTTTCCCTCCTGTTGCATTCACTTCAGTTTTAGTTCTGAGAAAAAGTGAACAACAACTCTATTTTAACAACAGTGTGTACGGATGAGTTTATATATAGGCAGCGTCACAAATTTTGTGGTCTAGTTTAAATTGTCAAAGCGGTATTGTTGTTTAACTTTCTTTTTTGGGGGGGGTAATTTCCATTTTTGTAAAGCTTTGTGAATGTTTTAGTCAATTTCTCTTAATGAACTATAATATAATAAGATATAAAAATACAGCATACAAGATAAGATGTTTTTTTCCTAGTCCTCCTGCTGCAAATCGTCATTAAAGATTTACATTCAAGGCAGAGGCGTTGTCACCTGCTGAGTGAGAGCACTTGCTGTAATGGAGGAGTTTCCTGTCATTTTAAAACAAAAATGATTATAGAGTTAATGTGACAAATTATATTTTATTAGAATTGGGCGCAACTAATGGTACTAAACACTTCAACTCTTCCCCAGAAAATGCAGATCTTTGTCAAAACTGAGTTTTCCAGCATGATCCCTAACAGAGACTGAAAGCTGAAAAGGGTAACAGAGCATATTTGCTTCTTCCTGTCTCTTTGCCGTTTCTCGTTTTCCTGCCCGAGTGAACTGTGGACATGCTGTGGAAAACAGTTTCTTTTTATTTAATAGCTTCTCAAATCTCAATGCTTCCTCTGAATTGCTTTTAAACACTGTACTAACACTGAAAATGGCTAACTAAAGCCTTCTTCACTCAGATACAAGCTCTGCACTGAAGAGTGTTGTAACTGCGCTCGGCATTGTGACACGGGTTGGCCCATGTGAAAGCGAGTCGCACAGCAGACCCGTACGGTGCCATCCTGGACCCCCTTCAGTTGTGCTTGCGACAAGCAGGTGCGACGTACCGGCGCGTCACTTTTGTCACCGCACTAGTAAATTGCCGCCTTTAAGGTTTGGGTTTAACCCCGCCTGGCCAGACAGAGTTTAATTAATTAACTCCCGAATAAGCCGGACAATATTACAGCTTACTGAGCCGCACCGACCCGGTAGCTTGGCAAATTAAAGCGCAACTGTGCCATTTTCTATCAGTTTGTACCTTTGATGGCAAGTGGGCATTGACAAGTTTGAGGCAGTGAGGGCATTTTGTAGTCTCGCAGCGAGTTTCTTTAATAACATAAAAGAAGAATGGCATTTTAATGACTATATTGGATTTGTTTGCATCATTTTGTGAAGAGACTTGTATCCTGCAGGTAGCAACTGGAAATATTAAACCAATATTTTATTCTCTGTCTAGAAATGCTTTTCAGGCCCAGCCAAACATTTCTCCATTTTTCTTCAGTTCTGTGTCTCTTTGTCTTTTCTGTAGGTAGGGGTAAACTACATCTTTGACAAATGAACATCAGGTGATGTGCTTGATTACTGCAGAATCATCATTTCTTTACATGCATAAAGTGGATCTCAAGCAATCCCCCTGTCTCCTAGTGTTAGATTAATTCTTCAATATTGTTGAGCTTTTATATGAATTGCCAAAAAACTGTTCCTGAAGTCTGGACTCTGAATTTATTTTTTGCAATTATGCTGCCCATTAAAACATTGCTGTCTACATTAGGAAGAGATTATTTTACATGTTTGCTGTATATTTTACCTTGTAAATGTGCATTTCATGTTCACATTAGGCTAAGCAATGAGCCTTGAAAGAACAGCTGCGGGTTGGATTCTCAGAAAGCGTTTTTGTTTTTCTTATTTATGACATAAAAATATCTTGTTTAAAAGACAACAAGATTGACAGTCTCCCTGTCAGCAAAACGGGGCACAAAAATCAGCCGTCTCTGTAGTGTCAAAACTGTAATTTACTTGAGCTAATTAATAGCACTTACCTGTGGGTGAGAAGTTTTTCTTTTTTTTTAATTCGTCAGTCTCCGCAGACGGAGTAGCAGAACAAGTAGAGCTTTCCATTGTTTGCTCTCTTATGTGTCGCTGCCTGTCATGAATTTAAAGTAATTTCTCGCGCTCCAGAGCTAATGACAGTTGATGTTTAACATTGTCCCCAGACGGCAGGCTTCATGAAAGATGCATGGGTTTGAGCTGCCGGAGCCCAATGTGCTTACTGCGCAGACTGACACCGGGGACAGATCTATTACTGAATGCTAGCGGAAGGCAAGGACTCCCGTCTGATAACGGCACTAAATCTTCTGTTCTGGGTGTTATACTTTCCTCTGACAAAAGGAAAGTTCAGCAGAAATAACACTTTTTGCAGCAGTGACGCAACACCAAATCAACAACCAAACTTTTATTTACCAGCTAACCGTTGTTTTCTGTGTCACTTTCATTGTACTTTTGTCCTAAAAATCAGAGGGAAGCGATTGTGTGATTGTTGGTATTTATTTAAATGAAATTCTCGATTCTTACCAAGAAACCCTGTGTTTGCAGGACACGGCGGGTCAGGAGCGCTACAGGACCATCACCACAGCGTACTACAGGGGAGCCATGGGATTCCTGCTCATGTATGACATCACGAGCCAGGAGTCCTTCTGTGCAGTTCAGGACTGGTAAGGACTTCTTTCTGCTATAGTTAGATTTTTATTTATTTATTTTTTTAATTGACAGGTAAAACCCCCATTTTAGCTGAATTTAGCGATGTAAAACAACTCAAGCCGGCAATGTTTCTAGCCAAAAGAAACAATACTAATACTCCATACTTTCACATGAGACCACAGCATTTTATTGCCGTCTGCCAGGTTTAATAAGCAAGCCTAAACTGATTATTATTTAGCTGGGACATTTTCTAAACAACTACAAAGCCAAAATGGCACAAAACAGCTTTAAACAGAATCGAGAAACCTTAACACATGTAGGGAGAAGAGGAGGTCAGGGGGAATGATGCCCAGGCCAGTCTGAACCACCATAGCTTTAGCATAGTAACATGAACATTGTTTGACTGCCGAAACAAAGACAAACCTAACAAAGAGCAGATGTTTAATATTTATTATTATACGGTTGTACCCCACAAATATAAAGGTTTTCAGTTGTTGTTGTTTTTTTTTTATTGTTTTTTAATAATTATTGTAATAATTTTCATAAAAAATAAAAAAAGAACTCTTGAAACAAACACCTGCTTGTTGTGACATTAATAACAACATGCTTATTGGTGCAGGTGCAAGGCTCCCAATAATGCCTGAACACCAGAGTTTATGTTCCATGCTAGACTGATAAATGATTACAGCTGCTCAGCTGCTGCTGTTTGGAAATGCTCCTGTTGTTTTTGGCGAGTGAAAAGCAGTTCGACAGGCAGCTATAATGCATACAAAATCTGGTTTGAAATGTTATTTCCAGATGAACAGATGGAAAAAGATGGAAACCTACAGTTTTTCTATAACTTTGTAAACCAATCAGCTGTAATTGAGTCTGCACAGATGTGCAGAAGTTCCCTGTATTTCCACCCTACCAAGGAAATTCAGCTCCACTGTCACTGATAACTCGCCTTATGCTAACTTATCTCAAAAGTCTTCTAATCTCATTAATTTGGAACCTAGGGTTGTTATCAATTGAAGACCAATAATAGTTAGTCTAAAGGTAAAACAGCAACTATTTTATTAACCCCCTGCCTCCTAAAAAAAAAAAAAAAAAAAAACTGTTAACTCACCCTCGTCGATGTCAAAAAGTGCCAAAAATAGCAATAGAAATTTATTGTACGCAAATTGGTGTGATTAAATAGAGCTAAAAATCACAACATGTCTCGTTGCGTTCTGAGTTACCGGCAGCTTAGGTTGTTAGATTTTTAAACTTTTACTTCAGCCGCCAATTCTGTTGGCCACTTGTAATTGTCCAAAGATATTTTTAAGGAAATTAATTAAATGTTTCAAAATAAACACAAATGAACCTAAAATGTTAGCATTTGCCTATTAAAATCCGGTCAGGGGGTAGGGTTACAATTACTCATTTTATGTTCGGTTTATAACGAGTCATCTTGAGATGTCAGGATTTGGGTATGGAAAATAAATAAATTGGCAACACCCAAATATGTTTTACAGATGTGTAAAAATAAGATATTTGATTTTAAATGGACAAAGCAAACAAAACAAAGGATGTGTTGGAAAGCACTCATTCCCACTGTTAAATACAGTAGAGGTTCTGTGATGCTGTGGGACCGTTTTTCTTCCAAAGCCACTGGAAACCTGCTGCAGATCATGACATTGCAAACTCTTTAAAATACCAGCAGATTAAAATAAAAAAACAAACTGATTGACATTTCCAGAACACTGAAAATGTTTTGACAGACACAAAACAATGTGTCGTTTTCATTGCCTAAATCTTTTTGAGAAATACTACGGGCATAGAGGAAGGGTCAAAGATCAATTTCTCTGCATGCTCCAACCTTGTAAAATGCTATAAAAGACTATGATAATTTCTTAGTAACAGTACTTTGTATTAACATCACGGGTACCGACAATGGTGACACTGGTGACTTTAAGTGAATTAACAAATTTATTTTCAGACTTTTTTTATACATAAATGCCAATATATGTCTGTAGTAACTTTTCCTTCTAGCTGGTGTTAAATTAATTTTAAGGTAGGTGAAGCAGACATCAGTGCAAGTGTTATTAAATTGGGCCTTACGTCCTAAATAAATGATTAGCGACCCTTAGTTACTCTGTTCATTGCCAAATTTAAATGGTTCTCAAATAAAACCACATTGTCTCATTGTTTGAAATCAGCTTTTCTTCAGTGTCCATGTTGGGTCAGCAGCAGAATAATTGTGAAAATGTTCTGGCTGTTTCCCAGGGCAACCCAGATCAAGACCTACTCCTGGGACAGCGCTCAGGTCGTGCTGGTGGGCAACAAGCTGGACTTGGAAGACGACAGACAAGTCCCCAAAGCAGATGCCCAAAGAGTGGCTACAGAGCTTGGTAATAACACACACACACACACACACAAGCAAACATGTGCGCGCACACACGTTGGATTTGTTTTGATCTAATCTTGCAGGAGCACTCGGATCACCCGTCTGTCGCTTGATGAGTTTTGATTCATCGCCCCATTATCTTTATTTGTCCACAGGTTTTCAGTTCTTCGAAGCCAGCGCCAAAGACAACATCAACGTGAAGCAGGTCTTCGACAAGCTGGTGGACCTTATCTGTGAGAAGATGAACGAGAGTGTCAACGGTCACACCAGCCAGCCAGTCAATCAGAAGGGGGACACCTTGAAGGATAAGCGTGACACGAGTCAGAGAGGCTGTGCTTGCTGATAGCCGATCGGCGCCAACAGGAGCGGTCCTCTCGACCGGTTTCACTTCACACACCTAAGCAGATGAACTTCACTGGATTTTTCTCCTCATCCTTGAGGCGGTTTGAGAGATCCCTCATAATTTCCTCAGACTGTTATCCAGTAAAGCCAAAGAGTTTCCTCTCTGCCTTTGTTCATAACATCCCTGCTTTAACAGTTTCCTGTAGGTGACAGCACCTGTTGCAGTTGAGGAAGCGAACCAGATCAGCATGGACTTACTTGTGTTGCGTTGCCCTCCTGTGGCCATTTTATGTAAATGCATCACTAAAAAGCCCTAACATTCCTGAAGGTTGAGGTCAAACTCGTGTATGGATGCCATTATAACAGTTGTGCTCGTTGTGTAAAAAGCATGTAACTCTTTGCTTTGAAAAGATGCCATTATCTGCCTCTATTTAACTTATTTTTGTCATGTGTGTTTAATAATTGCCATTTGTCGGGTTTCTAGCCTCTTACAGTTGACATTAAAAAAAATCTATCTGTGCATCATGTCTTAGTTTTACTTTTGTGAAGTACTTCCATACTTTTTGTCAACTTAACAGGAAAGCGGCTAAAATGATCCAAAATAGTTTGAAATTGGATCCCAAAACCACGGAAAAAATATGTTCTGAAGCGGTTACAGTTGTCTAAGAAGACCTTGTAGAGAAATCATGCAACATTTTCTGATCTGATGCTGTACATTAAGAATAAATAAAATTACTAAATTAGTGAAAACGGGTGTAAAACTCTGGTCGACAGCACAACTCGTAAATGATTAATGCTGTGGTGAACAACGCTGTGAAAACAAGAGTGTTCAAAAAGAAAAGACGGTGAAGGAGCCTGACTACTTCATAGAAACAACCAGTTTTTTAACAACCAATGGCAAAAACCCAAACGCCTCTGAACTTTAGTCTTGTCTTTGGACCGATCTAGATCAGCTGGTCTGCTGACGTTGGAGACCTTGAAGCACATCTAAAAACAAATCAAAAGATTTTAAAATTAGCTTCGTAGTACGCAGGAAGCTAGTACAGAGCAGGACAGAAGGGACGGGTGACTGATTTGCCTTTTGGACAAGATGAAGACAAGAGAGGAAATCCTTTCTGTCACCAAAATACAATGTGTGAATAAAAGCATAAATCATGTTTTCAAAATTTTGTCTGTTTATTTTGGCAATTGAGATTTTTTTTTTTTTTCTTTTTTAGATTTGAGTTTTGTGCCAAATTTAAAGTCACCATTTAATTTCACTTCCAGATTAGTGACAGTGAGACTTAAAGGATTTCTTCCAAAATCAATCTGTATTTATCTCTATCCATCTTTTCTTTACGTCTAGTCAGACTCCCTGCCCCAGCTTAAGAAAAGCATCATGGTGTGTTCAAGGAGATTTACAGTGTTAGATTTCCACCACGCAGCATGAGGTTCAATACTGGCCTCATCTGAGCAGAGCTCCTTCTTCCACGTATTTGCTGTGTCCTCTACATGTCTTGTGACAAACTGTGAACACTATCCCTTCTGACTTTCTCTCAACAATGGCTTTCATCAACATGTTCTTCTTTAAAGGCCATGTGTGTTAAATACAGGTTTGTATTTGTTTGAACAATACTCCACTAGATGCTCAAAGCTTGGGCCAATGTTTTATAACATAACTTTGCTCTGAACGTCTCCAGAACTTTGTGTCCCATGGTCTTCATGAGCAATCCTCTGAGGCCTTCACAGAACAGCCACGTTTATACGGGGATGAAATTATCGACAGTCAGACTCCGTTCAGGTGATTTCTGAAGACAGTGGATTTCTCTAGATTTCTTTTAGAGCTACCAGAGCAAATGGGACTGGATATGAACGTATACGTCACACTTTTCAGATTTTTATTTGTGATAGATTTTCCTTCGACTTCACAATTGTATATTGTCTTATTTGTTTTAGTTTGAGGCGTTTTTTACCAACACTAAACGTGTTCGGTCAAATAGTCGTAAGCGTTATACTTCTGTGAGATGTCTCTGTCTCATTTCTCCACCTTGTTCGCTGCTCTGGTTGCAGTTTCATTTATCATTTATCTTGGCATGAAATAAAACAATCAAGCTCTTCATTTATTACAAAATGTTTCCATGACGTATTCACATCACTAATTAACCTCTGATACAAGTTGTCAAGTCATATGACTTTTTCCTAAAGGCTCTCTACTTTTCATTCATTGGAGTTTTAATTCAAAATCAAATTGTCTTAAATGTTAGAGTTGCTCAACATGCTGTTTGAAGTTAGTTTGATCATGAATTGTTTGGAAACGTTTGGAACATGAAAGCATATTGAGGATGGACTTTGGTCATCAGGAATATATCTTTGTCATCCTATCAGATTAAAAACATTTCCTGATGACATATAGGGCACGAACTCCAGCTTACGTGCGTCTGTGTGAACGATATAAGGACGGCCACAAGCCTCGCTGAGTACACACTCCTGAAGCATCAGACCTCAACGGACACACAGTCATCTCAGCGGTACAGGTATGATCTTATGCTTTATTGCACCTTTTGCCAAAATACTTATCAGGGCAGAACTTAGACAGATTTGACTTTAAAAAAAAAAAACAAAAGAAAAAAAGTACATATAGGTACATTTTTGTCTAAAAAGTCAAAGAAGTGACGAATTCTGCCAACATTTTAGCCGTAGCCAGTATTTTATCCCATAGTTTGATCATTTGATGCAAGATTGTGCTTTTCAGTCGCAGACGTTCTTTTTATTATTTTCTCTTTTTTTATGCCATTTAGTCCCAACCAACTGAAGATCCAAAGTCCAATGCTGTTCTCTTAAACAGAAAGCACAAGAAAAAAACAAAAATAAAACAAAAAACAAGTGAATTATCAAACTTTTACATTTTTCTTAAAAAGAAATGATAATATACAGCATGTACACTGGATAAAATTGTCCTCTTGTCTCCACTGAAGGCAGTCAGGCAAGCATTGGGTTTCCTGCTGTCACCTGAGTGTTTTATTGCCTGTTTTGATAAGGAAAGGCAGAAAAAAAAACTTCAATAACCATAAAACTGAGCTCAACCGGGAATAGGTAGAGGAATAAATTGGGCAATGATAGGTTCAAAGGTGAATGTGCGTTTTGTTTTTTTTTTGTTTTTTTTATGGTGCTTTTGTTCCAGGAAGATATCAAAGCGTTTTGTTTTTTTTTTTAGAACAGAGTGCCATTTGGACCCATAAACCCTTGGAAACAGTTAATTAGAGAAAGCTAATGTCAGTCATCAACTCTGAGAAATCATGGCAACGCTTTCTCCACTGAAGAGAACATGAGCCACCACCTTTATATGCTCCCATAAATTACACTGGCACACTAGGAAGTTATATAAGCAATATGTAGAATGTGTTTAGACATAAGGGGAAAGGCTGCAGGTAACTTTTACATGCTGTGGTAAATCCGGGCTTAACGTACACCATTTACAGTCAAGTGACTTAAAATAAAGCATTGATTATTCAGCTTAATGCTTAAACCGAAACTGTGCCCCATGCGAGAAAGAAAAACTTGCAATATTTAAAGAAGATTAGAACCTTCCTCTCTGTTTTTTTTTGTAGTTTGCCTGGGTTAATGTTTGACAGTGTAATCCTATTTGACGTTTTCTGTGTCAACCTGTGCCTCACCCTGTTCATTTCAAGTAAAAAAAAAAGTATCTGTTATGTTCATACTAATCTTTTTTTGTTTTTGTTTTCTTCTTTTCACCAGCCAAAATCAGCCAAGATGTGTTGCACAGGTTTCCTTAAAGTCATGATGTTCATCTTCAACGGTGGCATCTTTGTAAGTTGGGAAAAGAGAAAAAGCGTTACTTCTTTTCTGTGAAACTTCTTCTCTTGTGTAAACTGTAGCGGATGACACCACCCACTGTCAGCAACACTATTATACGGCATCATTTAACCATCATTTTCGTATTTCATCCTGTGGAAGATATTCATCGAAATCTGATCTGGTTGAGAAGTTAAAAATGTGCTTTTCCACAAAATTAGGTGGTATGCTGAAGAGAAAACATGACAAATCCTGCCATTAACTCTTTGATATGACAAAATCCTCAAACAAATACCACATTTGATAAGAATAATTATTGAGTAATAATTTTGAATAGTTTGATTTTCCCAGCATGTCCAGGAGGATGATCATCATTTACATGTTCTCTCACTGTTTGCTTGTTTCTGCTCCTCTAATGCTCTTGTTTCTCTTTGCTCGTTCAGTTGGCAGGTTTGGTCATTTTGGGAGTTGGTATATGGGTGACGGTGGACAGCGACTCTTTGCTGAATTTGGTGGAGAAAGTGGTCGATTTGCCAGATGAGGTCTTCAAGCTGAACTATGTAGGCTATATGCTGATCGGAGTGGGCGCTGTGCTTTTGATCATTGGCTTTCTGGGATGCTGCGGCGCCATCAACGAGAACAGGTGTATGCTGCTGACGGTGGGTAATCCTTACTATTGCCACACTTACATAGAATATAAATTTAACTGCTGCAAAGAAAAATATTTATAATATGTAAAACAATTCATTTTCACAATTTCTTTAAAACATATTATATTGTTTGCCCCCCTTTAGTTCTTCAGTCTTGTGCTGATCATCTTCATCGTCGAGGTTGCAGGGGGTATCGTGCTGTTCGTCTTCACCGATGAGGTAAGAGATTGTGGAACGTAATCCAGGACGTTCCTGATCTTACATTTTACAGATCAGATCTTTTTGTTTTAAAGCAAATAACAACAATGTGTTACTTTTGATTTTTCATTCTCAGGTTGATCAAATCTTCAACAATTTAGAGAATGATGTAATAACAGATATTCAAGCAAACTATGGAAAAGATCCAGGCATGACCGAACTCTGGAATATAACCATGGAGCAGGTACTGAATATACTTCTTTTATCAGCCATTTATTTATTGTAGTACAATATATTCCACTCAGGCAATGAAGGAGATGTGTAATTATATTTTTTTTATGTATCTTCAGTCTCGTTGCTGTGGTTACAAGAACTACACAGATTTTTATGGCTCCCCTTTTAACATCGGAGGTGAATACCCCCCACCATGCTGCCACTCTAGCACAGGACCATGCACTTCAGATTTAGCACGTATATCGGTATGAAACCAACTCATTTCTGTTTCAGCTTCTTATTCAAATACAAAGGAGATCTACCTCTCAGGTCTGTTCCTCATGTGAAACCCAATGTTTCCCTTTCAGAACGTTAAAGGCTGCTTTGTTAAGCTGGTGGAGCTGTTGGAGGAAAACTCTATTATCATTGCTGGTGTAGCTATTGGAATAGCTTCCCTTGAGGTAAATCAGTATTTAATTAGATTTTCTATTTTTCTTATTTTAAATGTACCGAGTAGAGATTCTTAAAAAATGTTTTAAATGCTACTGAATTTGATCAACCAATAATGAATTTTCTTTGTTTACAGATCGCTGCCATGGTGGTTTCTATGGTTCTCTACTGCAATGCTGGCAAAAAGTGAAAGTGATTCGCCCTGGGGATGATAAAAAAAGATAATGGAATTGGTTGCAATAAAAAAAAAATCACCTTTTATGTAAAAAGTTTTCCTGATATTTAATTCAAGCAGGTTGATTCAAACATGAACAGATGACACTCTTTTTGCAGTGTTATCACTCTTTACAAGCACTAAAATATGGAAGGAATACTAATATGTTGTGCATTTTTAAAACCTTTGGTTTATATTTATAATGCGACTTATTTAAAGTTCTAGGAAGTCTTTACCTCCACTGACGTTGTTTGTGCTGATGTATTCCACATTGAGATGTAATGATGCACACGGAGGTGACTTATGCTGAGCTTTTATGTCTGCTTTATGTTACTCACATTTATGGCAATAATAGAATGCATTTATTTTGTATTTTTTAATTGTGTAGGGACGGCGAATGAAACTTTGTCTTGTTTGAGAAATGTGATTTATTTTGTCTTTGTAACATGTTTGTGCAGTTTTGTGCAATAAACATAAAGAACAGAACACATACGTTGAGAAAGGTGTGATTTCTGAGGTTGTTAGTAAGATATCTTCCAACTGCTGCACATGTCTGATTTTGCACATAATTTTGCAGATAAAAGGCCGACCTCTTGCTGAAGTTTCACATTAATCCACTTGCTACCAGTATGATTTTTATATTCAAGATTTTAGGATTTTAGTGAGACACTTGGACCATTCTTTTTGACTCTAGAACCATGTTTGAATTTATTGTGGATCTTCTCAAATCCACACCTGGTTAAAATTATACAGATAGGTTACCATACATTTCCACCAGTATTCGGCAAATTATTTATTATGGACTTCTACCTTAATAACTGTGTAGTTCCAGTTCACGTATCAAGACCCAGTTCTAAATTCAGTTCACCCAGGTTAAGAGTTATTTTGTCTGAACTAATTTCCCAGCTCCAATACGATGGAGTTCTCCTCCAGGAGTTAGATAATCCATCTGTAAAGCTTTCTTGCTTATGCTTAATCAAAAACTATCTAAGAAGGGTTTATGTGAAGGGCGTTTTAGAAGCTTAATATCAGCCTGCTTTTTCTATGCTGAAATTTTTGGAAGGAAAAGAAATTGGCCAGGATGTGTGAAAGCAGCTGTGAGATGATGGGACTCTGGTGTCACTGTTCACCCTGAACTGAGTTTAGCATCAACATGGGATGAAGAGATGTCAGCTGAAAAGCGTCTGCTCCAAAAACATTTTCCAAAATATATGAAACTTGCAGATTTCCAAAAGGGCATGGCAAAGACTGAGCTCAAGACCGAGCCTTTAGGCCTCAGTATTATGAAAGTTTTGGCAGATTTAACATGAGGAGGACGTCACGTTAAATCTCTCATGTTCTCCTGGACGTTCCATTTTTACAAAAAAGGAAGACAAGGTCAAATTAGTGCAAATGTGCATAGTATTGATCTGGACACTGTTAAGTGTTCATCAGAGAAGCAGCCTGGGGGAGGAAACTGTCTCTGTGGCAGCTGTTTTTATGCAAATAGCACTCTGCAACACCGGCCTGAAGGTAAACGACAAAGCAGTTTGTATCCAGGATGTGAGGAGTCTCAAGAGATGCTAGCTGCTCTTTCCCTGACCCCAGACCTGTACATGTCCTGGATTAAAGGATGGTCAGCCCTGATGATTTTCTCTGCAGACCTAATTGTGTGTTGCAGTCTGGTCCGGTCCTGTTTTGCAAACGAGCCAAACCTCACAGTGACAGAGAAACACAGGACAGACAGAATAGTGGCATTGTAGAAGGCGATCAGCAGCACATGTGGCGGGTTGTGCTGCTTCTTGACGTGTGTCGGGAAGTAAAGTCTCAACTGGGCCTTTGTTCCAAACTGTGGTGGGGGAACCATCTCAAGATGTGGTTTTAAAACTATTAAAGTTGCTACAAGTACAGCCATCACTCTGAAAATCATATCTTCATTTGTTTCTTTAAATGTACAAATTTAGACACCATGCATGCTACTTATCAGTGGATGTAAACTTCTGCTCAGCACAATAATTACTGAAGAAAATACCTGGAATCCTTTTACCAAAACATCAATCCTGTTTCTCTGATATTAGATTATCTCATGCACAATGCATACCATGTTTACTGTACCATAATCAGTGTACTAAAACTTGAAACTGATGTGGAAAGACTTACAGTTTTCCACAGTACAAAATAATGATGCCAGACACTCAACACACTGAGGTCAGGGAAGCAAAGTGCACTTTGAGATGAAAGCTCGGACGTTGTGTAGATTAGATTGTTGATGAGATTTCCAACTCCTCCTATCTTTAGGACTACAGTTAACCACATTGTGACACAGGTCAGCTCTTTCCACATGGTCTATAAATAACAAATAAACACAGTAAAATGACTAAGCAGAAATGGAGGAGCACATTCCATCAATACTTTGTTGAGGTGTTACCATGTTTTTATTTTTTCTGTGCGATTGTATTTCATACATTTATGTTGAACTGACTAAAGGTTTTATTCTTGGATTATGTTACATGTATCTGGATGGAGCCTCTTCTTGCAGTGTTATGCTAATTTGTCAAATGCAAGTTAAAGAGATTGTTATGTTATTATTATTGTTGTTGTTGTCATGCATGCATTATTTCAAAATTAAGCAGACAAGCTTTTATAGTCTGCTGTCGACTTGCTATTCCGCTTGAATTTTTCATTTTTGCAGACCTGAAGCGTTAATATTAGTTTTTCTATATTTGATTGGATTCATTTAGAAATACCACTAAAATATTTCTGCACTTTTTCTGCCCCATATCATCACACTCCCACCTCTATGCACCATTTTTTGGTGATCTGACTGTGTGCTCGTTGAATCTGCCGTCAGCTTATTTTTTGTGTTTATTAAAATTAGATACTGTGTTTCAAGACCGGGGGGAAGGGGCGGAGTGACAAAACAAGTTCAAATCAACATAATGCAACTGACACCGCAAAGCAGTGTGTGTTTCTGCATCATTTTCTGCTCCTATTTTAATTAACCCTCTGAGCCCTGTGTGTTGGCATAGCTGCACATGTGGCAGCTGATTAGTGCACTCGGCGCGGCTCATGAGCTCGGGCCCTGGCATTAGACGATATGAACCAACAGCTGTTTAATTGCACGGGGAACGAAAAGGTGCATTTGATCAATATGGTCTCGCCAAATGGTCAGAAGTGTGTTCTAATTCACTTTATGCCGTGTGAGGTTAATTACTTTTAATACATTACCATTTACATTAGACACGGCTGATTACGTCGTACAGCATGCGCTGGCATTCGAGTGTGTTTTACTAGAGTCTGGTCAGTGGCGCTCCAAAAAGTCGCAGGCGGGGTTGTCACATGTTGAGCTGCTGATACCGGATCTTTCCACTCAAACAAATGCTATCTGGAGGGAGAGGTTGTAAATCAGAAAATAAATCCATCATGTGATGATCTCATCCTCCTTTTGCTCCTACCAGGCTTCAACTCTTCGCTTTTCAGGTACGCATGCAGGAACGGCACAGGCTGCATCAAGGGAGGTACAGAGAGCTGATCCTGGTCACACTGAGACTTCTGAAGCAAAGTTATCCATTAACCGTATCCAACTAGTTTGAAATCAGCTAGCAGATAGTGACGTATTTTCCTGTAAACTGTGGTGTCATATAGCAGGCTGTATCTCACATAGGACATAATAAGGAAGACTTTTATATCCTGTTTATTAATATTCTGACAAAGGTGGCTGTCTGAGTTAACTTTAATGTTTCTCTAAAAGTTAAACTTTTATGTGTCACTTTCTTCACACACTCAGGCCTATTATTATTATTATTTTTGCCCCGAGCAGCTTTCTCTTCACAGTTAACACCTTGGTCCTTTTTATATGGCTTTATTGACTGCTTTCCCTTACAGGAAGTTGTGCAGAATAAACTCGGTACACCTAAAAGAAAGAAAGGCTTTGTCAAACTTTGCCACCTTGTTATCGAACTGACCTTACTCTTTACTCCTTCAATGTTTCACTGGTGGAAATATGGTATGATTTACCACTGCTCTCTCTAAACCTATGCAGGAACAGACACTGTTTTATTGGATTTGGATTTTATAGTGGGTTTTTCATCATTTTTATTACAATCATTTCTCCCTCTCTTTTTTTTTAATTCTTTGTAACAGAGAAAAACTATTAGAAAGCCACTAAAAGTGATACTTCTGGCCATCAGCAGTGGAAAGGAAAGGAAATAGTTTGTAAACAGTGCCCTCTTGTGGTTGAAACATCTTTCATCAAATGTGGTAGATTATCATATTGGGCACACAAATAAAGTGGATATAAAATAGTGTACCATCACTTGGTAGAAAGTTAGGTTTTTTCTTGTCTTGTACATGAGAACGTCAAACACTCCTTTCCTTATAAAACTGTCAGCTAATCAGCCAGCGTGTGATCACGTCACGGACGACGGGGCACAGTGAGGCCTAATGGCAGGCGGAGAGGCTCAGAAGCGACCATTGGGAATAAACGAACAGGACACGGCTTGTTTGCACAGGGAACATAAACTCATCATGGCTTCACAAACAAAGTTAACAGGAGCCTCTGCCAGAGGAGCCGAATTGTTCAACGGCAACGACCCGGCACCAACAGTTTTAAGCTTCCACTTTTAAAATAGTTTTTTTTTTTTTTTTTTTTTTACCATTTGGTGATTGGGGAATGATCAATTTATTCAACATATGACACGATCTTTGCTTTCTTCTGCAGACAAATGTTTTACATTATTTCGTTGTTTTTTTTTTTAATTAAACACATAAAAATACAATGAAATAGCTAAAATTGTTTCGTCTTAAAAGGGTTTGATTTCTTTAGAAAATAAATGAAGATGAAAATAAATTAGCACAGTAAAACCAACAGGTTTCCTGTTTTTTTCCCCCCACATCCTTAGAGAATTGCAGTAGATCTCAAAAGCATTCTATGATAGAGAATTGTTTAGGAAACTTTTTTCAATTTGGTCTAGCTTGCAGCTTTAAGAGCATCAGCGAGCTATCACTGCTCAAATTTATTAACATGGTACAAAAAAAAAAAACAGTT